AGACAGGAGAGACCTGCTTTTTCAGCTGCAAGGCCCCTTAGAGGTTATTGCTGTATATCTCCATCTCAACAGCCGAGGAACCCCAAGTTGTCAGCTTCTTTAACGTATGTATCTTCCTTGTGATGGCATTCCGGCCTAAAATGCTTCTCTCCTTTCTCCAATGGCTTTATTTATGGATTGAAGGCATCAGAAAAATTATCACACTAGAAACAAACTCATCTGCTTCCAGTGAGGCAATATTGTTCCGACTGTCCTCACATCCGAGCCGTAAAAGAAAGACATGCGCATAAGTGTGATGTGGAGATGGATTTTGTCTGGATGTAGAGATCGGCTGGAAGCTGGGCCAAGGATGCCTAGAAAGAAACTGTGTGGAGCGCCTCACGGGCTCTCCAGCAAAGGGCGGAAGTAAGCTTGGCGGCACTCCAATTCCTCCTCGGGCAGAACCGGCAGGAGTGGCCAGCAGATGCCACTCTTGCCAGTTCTATTTCACACATTTAAACTATTTTTTTAAAAAATGTTTTTACAGAAATAAGTGAAATAAAAGTAATAAAACTGTTATTTTAAAATATTAAGTGGCCAGAGGAATGCATAGTCGGCTCTGTGCTGTATAGTAGGTTTCTGATGGTACTTAAGCCAAGAGGAGAGTAGAATTACAAAAAAAAAAAAAAAAAAAAAAAAAAAAGTCTCAGGAGGTGATGTCCTATAAGGTCTCTGTGAGGATTAAATAGGATGAGGGTGTGAAGTTCACTTTCCTTTAGAAGTCTTCTGTTTTTCTTTTTGGTCAGAGACTGGGTGAGAGGAAAGGGAAAGAAAGATGCAGAAAGTTGAAGAGACTGATTTCAAATGCCTTTCCTTCTAAAACAGAAAATATGCTGTCTGTTGAGAATTTGGGACAGAAGGAAAACAAAACATTTGAGCAAAACAGCAATGCCTTGAAATATGCAGGAAACGAAAAGAAACAAAACAAAACAGTAAACCAGCCAGGAAATCCTGGCCTCCAACTGCTCACTTCTGCTTTCATGTTTTCATTCTGATCAGAGTCACAAAGCGCTCCAATTAAGGTGGCTTAAGGAGGTGAGGTGAGAGGAGGGAACCGGGAGGGAAGGAAGAAGGGGAAGCTGCAATCGGGATGTAAGTGGATGTGAAATAATTAATTAATTAATAAAATGCATTCCTAATGTAACCACAGCGTGTGTGCCTTACCCAGAACTCCAGCACTTGAGATCAGAGGCGCCAGAGCGTGAGCAGTGCCTGGGGTACACGGTGAGACCCTGCTTCAAACATCATAACACAGCAGAACACACGTGTGTGTCTTCAGGCTTGGCGTGGTGGTACACACCAGGAACACCAGCTTGCACAGGGCTCAGGCAAGATGGTCCTTGCTGGAACACTGCCCATGAATTAAGGAAGCCCTGTGAGAAGTCTGAGAGCTTGTGACAAAACTCCCAGGCAATGAGATGAAATTTTGTGGCCTCCATTCCTCCATAGCACGGGTTGCTCTTGACAGGGGCTCTTCAATAAGATCAACAGAGCCAAGAAATCTGGGCCCAGGGGCCATGCAGAGACTGATGTACCAACCAGGGACCATGCGTGGAGAGGACCTAGACCCCCTGCACAGATGTAGTGGATAGGAAACTCAGTCTCCATGTGGGTTCCCCAGTAAGGGGAGCAGGGCTGTCTCTGACATGGACTCTCTTGCCTGCTCTTTGATCACCTCAATGGCCACGGAGGAAGAGAATGCAGGCAGTCTAGATGAGACTTGATAGGCTGGGTTCAATTGGTAGGGGAGGAACACCCCCTTTCTGAGAACAAGGGGAGAGGAAGGGTGGGACTGGGAACAGACTTGGGAGAGGGCTACGATTGGGATGTAAAGTGAATAAATTTTTAAAAATTTAAATTAAAAAAAGAATGTGCTTCTGTGCCCCTCTCAGGTGTAAGTGGGAGTGGGTTAATTATGATTATGCATTGTCTCATCCACTATCACTCATCACTCGGATGATGTTTCCGAGCACAGGCTCTCCTCGTGACTGCATACAGCCTAAACTCATGTGACCTTTGCATGTGGCCTTGCTTAACCTTCAGAATGAGAATTGTTTGATGCTCTAAATGAAGTTGGCTATTGCATGAGACTTTAGTTTTACTTATTTTAGGCTCCAATCTACCAAAAAATAAAAAAAAAGGCAAACAAAGAAAGAAAAAAAGAAAAAGCTTTGAATCTGGCCAGGTGATGCCCTCTAAGGTCACTGTGAGAATTAAATAAAATGAAAGTGTGATGTTCACTTTTATTCAGAAATCTTCTTATTTCTTTTTCTTTTTGGTGACGGGGTAAGAGAAAGAAAAAAAAAGAAAAAAATGATGCAAGAGATGATGTTAGGAGAGCAGTAACAATCATGAACTGCAGGCCAGCCTGGGCTACACAGTGAGACCCTGATATACATACATACCTTTGGATCTATATGTATATATGTTCATGGAGAGAGAGAGAGCCAGGTCTCAGGAAAAGAGACCTTCTATCTACATACACATTCACACACAAGGACACACACAGAGACACACATATACACAAAAGGGTTCCCGTGTACTCGATTGATGAGATAAATATGAATTTAGAGGGGAAACTGCATGTTGCCGCACATGTGAAAAGTGTAACATTTTAATTCGGTGGGAAAGGGCTCTAGAGAGCGTGTCAGTAATTTGTAGGGAAGGGACAACAAACAGCTCATCCTACGCACCCGCTCCCGGCCTCGGGAAAGCGTTGTACAGCCCACCTACTTCCCTGTGTGTGATCCTCTCGCCCTAAGGAAGAGCTCATCATTTCCCTGCCCACAGCCTAGGACTTTGTCATGTGATTTGGCGTGGCCAGTCGAGCCCACGCACCACCAGTATACTGTGTTCGCACAACCTGCAGAGGCACAGCAAGTCTGGACACTTCTTCCCACACTGCCTTTGTCATGAGAAACGTGTGTGGCCGCACAGGAGCGGTTTTGTTCACAGCAGTGTGAAAAGCAGGGTCACTCCTGAAGAGATTTCAGCGCAGGTTTTCGATATGTGAGGAACACGGAAACAAGTTTACTAGCACCACACAGATACATTGTTTAATTTAGATGTTTATAAGTTACAAGGCTTTAATAACAAATGAAACATTTATTGGGAAATAGTATACATTTTGTCTTAATGTCTGTGACTGATTGGCAGAATCACCCCTTTGTTTCAAAGTTCAGCAAGTGTTTGACCACACTGGCACTGACTAACTCTCTTATATATCCCTGCTAGCAAATATCAGAGAAAACACTTTGAGGGTAAAGTTAGTACGATGATACTTACTGGTAAAATGCATTAGTAAAGCCCATCTTGTTTGTGGGGTGGACAGACACAGGAAAATAATTGTTAATTTGTTTTTAAAAATCCTATCATATAATGCACATAATAATCACATATTATCCACATAAAAACAATCTCTTGAGACCTGAGAATCTGCTATAGCGGCAAATTTTTCTATTCATTCATGTTCTGTCTTTGACAACTCCGCAGCAGACAGCAGCTGAATTTCTCTGCAATGGGCACTATTGATCTTCAGTGTGACAGGATCAGGGCCTGCGCACAAGGCTGGCCACCTGGGAGGGCTGTCCCATTAGGTTTACTATGGGGAAGCTCCACCCTAACTTTGGAGGAGAAAGCTTTCGCTTTTTCCTGCTTTTCTTTGTGTCTTGCTGGTGCACTCACTGGCTGGACTGTCATTTCCTCTGACATCAGCTTTTCAGCTTTCTCACATGGACTGAAGACCAGCGTCATCGCTCTGGTATTGCTCTGGCATGGCTCCAGCATTGCTCAGGTAAGTGTCCAGGCCGTTAGCACCAGACTGCGATGGCTGGGGCATCCAGCTTTCCAGTGTGAAGACAATTACCACTGCAGTTATGCAGACTACAGCCTGCAACCCAATTCAATAAGTCCCTTTAAAATACATTATCTATCCTGTTCCTCGAGACTAGGGGTTCTCACTCTCCCTGATGCTGTGACCCCTTAATACAGTTCCTCATGTCGTGGTGACCCCAACCATAAAACTGTTTCATTGCTACTTCATAACTTTCATTTTGCCACTGTTATGAATCATAAATAGCTACGTTTTACTAAAGTCTTAGGTGACTCCTGTAAAAGGGTCATTAGACAAAAAAAGAAAAAAAAAAGAAAGGGTCATTAAACAGAATCCACCCAAAGGGGTGTGACCTACACATTGAGAACCTCTCCTCTAAAGAACCCTGACCAAAACTTAGGATCACTGGAATTTTAAGAATCTCCATCTTTCTGCTTGGTTAGCAAAATAAAGTATTTAACCTTAAGAAAATAGATTGTTAAGGGTAGTTAACATATATGAGCTATAAAGGCATAATGGTACATAAACATTATAAAAACAGCACACTGCTCATAAGTATATAGAGGTAGGCCTTGAAAATAAAATCCCAACATCTCATATCTTCTCTGTTTTGCTGCAAAATTTTCTATTTAATACTTAACATGAGCACAAATTTTTAATAAAAAATTGTATTACATTTTTAGAACCATGTTTATTGAAGCACCAAAATTCATAAATAAAATTAAAGAAAAAAAGAAAACAATGGGCCAAAATCATATCAGTAGAGAGGATGTTGTCTATGTGTTTATTCGATATGACTGTTCATTTGATATTTGCTGAGAGATTCAATAATGCTTATAGTGACTTAAAATACTTTCTCCTAATTCTTATTTGATCCATTTTAGCAGTGACAATAACACTGCATTGTACAGTATGAAGCTGATCAGGGGTTTATTTATGTGTGTGTTTAACTGTATGATATAATTATGGTCCAGCCCAGGCTGTGAACATCAACATTTTCTTGGTATAATTCACTCAAACATGCTTGTATTCAGTATAATAAATTATGACATTTTAAAAATGATCCTGATTGCGGTGATCTGCCTGTCAGCTTCCTCTTGAAAATCCATAAATATTAAGTGGTCTGAAACCCTGATAAGCACCCAGACAAGAAGACGGTGAACATGGAAGCGTCAGGAAGCCAGGAGTGAGAAGGGAGCACCAAGCACCTGTGTTTTTGGAGTACCCCTTTTGCGGTTCTTCCAAGTTTTGAAATGTTCAGAGTACTTGAATTGGGAGCCCCGTAGCCATGTGAGGAATGCATTTCCCGCAGAACCCTCCGCATCTGCCGTAGACTTTGGTTCCATCCTGAAAGGGGGAAGAAGTAGAAAACACAGGAGACTTTTATACAAGCCTGTACCTGTGCAGAGCGCAGGGAAAGTGCCTGCTTTGAATCATGTGGCTGGAGCCCGAGCCAAGGATCCGTGTAAGAGCTGATGTCTAATGAAGGTCATGCGTGGGCCCAGGGGGACAAAAGGATATTATACAAGGTTGACCATGCAGACATGTGAGTCACCTTCTACCCCTTTCTCAATCTTCTCATTAGCGCATTTCAAAGATGCACAGCTGGGGAACTGCAGAACGTGGTGTGACGGGCAGAAACAGAAACAAATGGGTAGCAGATAGACGCCACGGTCAGAACTGGACTAAAACAGGAAATAAGCTCGGGCTGATCATCTGAGTGAAGGAAGCCAGGATGGGGAAGGAGGCATGTACTGCCTTCATTGTACTTACAGACATGGAAAAACTAAAGTTGAGGCTGGAGAGATGGCTCAGAGTTTAAGAACACCGGCTGTTCTTCCAAAGGGCCCTGAGTTCAATTCCCAGCAGCCAGATGGCTCATAACCATCTATAATGAGATCTGGTGCCCTCTTCTGGCCTGCTGGCATACATGCAGGCAGAACACTATATACATAATAAATTGATTTAAGAAAGATGAAGGAAAGAAGGAAGGGAGAGAGAGAAAGGAAGGGAGGGAGGGAGGGAGGGAGGGAGGGAGGAAGGGAGGGAGGGAGGAAGACTAAAGTTGGAAGGGTAGAAGGAAATTTCTTGTGTTTGGGACTTTGTGAGACAGAAGAATGTTGCTGTCAGAAGCCCTTAAACTCCAGAAAACCATAGCTTTCTAACAAAGAGAACGGTATTGAGAACAGCTTTGTGGACGTCTCTTTTCTTAACTATAACAGTGGGAAGTTGAGCTTATTATGTTTTGTGGAACATGAATATGTTCTCATTGCCACAGTTGTGCTTGGCTTTTACACATCTCGGTTTTATGCTTGGGTACCAGACTTCAAATATGCTGCCAGGAACATTTTAACTTGATACAATAGGTCCTCCACAACTTACCTAAGCAACTTAACTTCAGGAATTACAACAAATAGAAAAAAAAATTGAAAGATTTTACTAAATATTATTATCTTCTAGTGAGTTTAGCAAAGACGCATTTTTTTTTATATTCAAGGAAAATATTTAAAACCTGGATACATAAAAGCCAGGCTTTTCACGGAGTTCTCTACATTTATAGTAAATTAAGCATAATCGCGTATCCTTCAGCAACAAAATATTTTAAGACTATAACATGGGAATATTATACTGCATTTTGGTTACAAATATTCACTTTAATTGGAATATTACATGGCTTTTTTTTTACTCTTTTATTTTTATTTTATTATTTTATTATTTTAACTTTTACTTTAAAAAATTTTACATGTCATTTTTTACCAAGATAAAGAAAAGCTAAAAAACACTGGAGAGGGTGAAGGCTATGGGGGTTGATTAAAAGCCATTAAATGAGAGTACTCACAACCTAGGTTCACTTTCCCATACAGGATCTCTGCCCTGCTGTTTGACTTAATAATTAAGTAATTTTAGTAGTTATTATTTCTAGGACATGGGTACAATGGTAAGGTTTCAAAATGAATGTTTCTTTTCGGGTGTTAGCATATTTAGATCCAATATTTTAAATAGAAGAATGAGGATATATTATTACCTATTTCAAGTTTGTCCTTCCTCTTTTAGAAATATCACATACGACTGATAATTTTGTGTGTATGTGTACAACATACCTACGTGCTCATGTGGGCATGTGGGTTTGTGTATGCGGGGTAAGTGTGCACGTATGTGAAGACATGTAGAGACCAGAGGTGACATCAGGTGTCTTCTTCAATATATTTCAACTTTGTTTATTGAGGCAGCATCTCTCATTGGAAGCGGTACTTATTGGCCTGGCTAATGAGTTATAGGAACCCTGCTTTCTCCATTCCTCCTCTGTAGCACGAGGACTATGATGCAGGCTCTGCTCCACATGCTTGTTTGGAAGGCACTTTCCTGACTGAGCCATTTTTCTCTCCCCATACAACTATCTATGTAGATAAAAATCACAGTGTTTTCTAGATAAAGGTAAACAAGAAAATAGGAATATCATATAGATAACCCATATTCCTGAAAAACACTTTGAGGATATTTGTTAAATGATTCAGTTCAATAATCCATTCACTGAACCAAAGATAAATAGAAGATAAATAAGCAAGAAGATAAGGCAACTCCAATTTGAACTTTGAGATACTGGACCCCATGACTCCATTTGGGTTTTGTTTGTTTGTGTGTGGTTTTGCCACACTTGAGAGTTGAACCTTGGACTTGAGTCCTTGCTAGGCAGATACTCTACCAAGGACCTACAACCTCAGCCTTCTTTTCCCTTTTGTTTGAGAAAAAGTCTCACTAAATTACCCAAGCTGACTTTGAATTCACTCCATAGCATTGCCTTGAACTTGACAGTATTCTGCCTCATCCTACTGAGTAGCTGGGGTTATAAATCTATGCAACTAGGCCTATTACAGTTAAATCACCACCTTTTAAAAATACATGCATGTTTTGTCATAAGGTCTAAGCCTGAGATTCATGCTCATGTGTGTGGAGCCCATATTTGAATTTGTGTGTGTCTATATGCGCATCAATAAACTGGACTTGTTCCCACCCACCTTGTTATATGTGGCATATTCACGGTATACCGTAAGGTTCCAGTCATTGGCCTCCTGTGGGTTTGCACCTGAGGTTCAGTGCTAGCTCACAGCACAGAAATGATTCCTGTGCTCCTGGGTCCTGCGGGACTTACTTGAGATCTGTGGATGATGACGGAGGTATGCCTCCCCTGAGCAAGCCACTTTGCTGTGCTGGAAATCTTCATCCCGGTTCCCGCTAAATTAATGCTGAACTGCCCCTGCATCGTGAGAAAATAGAAACATAAAATGTTTACGAGTATTCTTCTCTGAAAGCATCAAGCGACTCAGGTTATTTTGCAAGGATCTTAAAACAGGTTAAGAAAGCTGATGCACCTTCACTTAAAGAAAGTGAACTAGCTAAGGAGTTTAAACTCAGACTACAAAGACATCTTCTCAATTACAAGTGCAATCAGAGTTAAAACCGTGTCATGCTAAAGCAGCTCCGGCACACTGTGCTCTCTGACGCCTGCAGCCAAGAGAGGTGTCCATTGCTCCCGATGAGCACTGAGGATGTTTGGTCTGAAGGATGAGGTCCTGTCACAGCTGGTGAGCCCTTAATGGAAGAATATCCAAGAGGACTAAGATGTACCAAACTTTAACAATTCTTGAATTGACTGCTTAATTGATAGTTTCTGTGGTGCTCCATCTGTTTGAAGTATTTTCGTAATCTTTGTTATTATGACTCCTCCCTTCTGTACTGAGAAAATTACTCCTTTAACTGCCAACTCAAAACTGCTGAACGTGGCATTTTCCTCAATCAGATCAACTTTTTAAAGCCCCGGAAGGATGTGTGGACTGCAATGGCACACCGCTTACACATTATCGTTTGTGTTCCCCAGAGGCTTGTGTCACTCAAGATGTATTTTTTCTGTCAAAATATTTCAGGTTACTTTGTTGGCAGTAAACTTCAACATGCTGCGCAGCTATACACCAGAGGGGAAGCCTAAGAAAGCCCTTAGTAGACTACAGTGACTTTTCAGCTCCGATGAACACCAGCAACAACTTCAGGTCACAGGGGCTAGAGTCTGTGGTGGTTTCCGTGTTCCAGAGACTTCTGGGTAAGGGAATAGTCTCCTCCCGTCTTCTCATCATAGGAGGGGATTCCTCTGTGAATGCTGGGTCTTGCAATGATCAGCAGCATCTGGGACATTGATGAGACCCAGGATAGAGACTCTCCCTTAGCTGTGCCTCCGACCCTAATAGAGCTCTGAGGAAGGACAAATTTTCCCAAGCCTTGAGCCCAGGGAAAAAACACTCAGAATCAGTAAGGTACAGTGAGAGCTTAGGCTCCGAGGCACGAGGCACCACAGACTTCTGACTCTGGAATCTAAGAAGGTGAGACATGGCAATACCCCAGGCTTTACAAAGGCAGGTAGAGCAGGAAGAATTCTTGGAGTCAGAATGTGACATGGGCCCTGAGGGAGGCCAGCAGCAGAATGAGGACTTTGAGGGCTTTTTTCTAGAGATAAGCAGGTGCCTCTCAGCAGCCTGCATCATGGACTAGTCCAGTTCCAGGCTGGTGAGCGTGAGGATATTTGGTCTGAAGGATGAGATTCCGTCAAGCTCTCATGCTCTGGAACAGGAGGCACTGCATCTACTGGGCTCTTCATGTCTGTACAGCACCTGAATGTACTGTTGTGAGGGTAGGACAGTTTCTAGACATTTGGTCCTTGTCTTGCTCCAGGCCAGCTGTGCCAATAGAAGGTACTACTGCTTCAGCGCACAGTGAAGGGCTCAGTTCCGGGTTGCTACCACACTGTGGTGCTAGAGCAGTTCTCAACCTGTGGGTCTCGACTCCTTTTGGGGAATCAAATGACACCTTTACAGGGGTCGCCTAAGACCAACTAAAAATACAGTTGTTTACATTACCGTTCATAAGAGTAGCAAAATTAAAGCTAGGAAGCAGCAATGAAAATAATTTTATGATGGGGGGTTCACCACAACATGAGGAACTGTATTAAAGGGTCACTGTCTTAGGAAGGTCAGGAGCCACAGTGTTAGAGAGTGGAGAAAATACTACCATCCCGCCACAAAGTTTAAGAACAATTAAATAATCTGTTGCAGAACCCTCCCACCCCAGGCTCCATGTCCAAATTAATCAAAAATGAGTCACTGGGTAAATACAGCAGGATTAGCATGTAAAATAAAACATTTTAAAAATGGGGAAAAATCTTTATAACTTGGCATTTGATTTCTTAACTCAAAAATCCATAAGAAATAGTACACCTGATTTCATTAAAATAAAAGAAAAACTCTTACTCGGAAAGATACGTAAGCTAATGGAATGACAGTTCAGAGAAAAGTGGACTGTTAGCAAATGTCACTTCTGGTGAAAGCCTTTTGCATATTCAGGATGTATAAAGAGCTCTTGACACTCCCCAATCAGAAAACAAACTCAGTGTCAAATACAAGCATAGACCTGGACATTTACCTCATTAAACAAAAACACAAATGACAAATAAGCCCAGGAAAGACACTTGGCATCATTATGCACTAGAAAAAAAAAAAAAAAAGGTGAAGACACCATTGGTAGACACCACTGATGAGAACACTAACAAGCCAATGAACACAAGCTTGGCCATTCCAAATGTTGGCAAGATCGCAAAGTGACAAGGACGTTCATCTTTGATGGCAGAAAACCAAACTGGTGTAGCTCCTCTCTACAACCTGCACCATAGAATCTGCAGCAAAAGACCCAGAGATTTAGCCTAGAGAAACGTGTGTGTGTGTGTGTGTGTGTGTGTGTGTGTGTGTGTAAGCCATAGTTCTCAACACCTGGAAACAACACCAGACTAAGAAAGGTACTGGCATGATCCCCTGGCATTACTGAAATGTGATTACTTCTCCAACTCTCTGGGAATCAAATATTAATTACAAGGCAGGAAACAAGGTCCACACCAGGACTCTGTGGGAACATCTACCTCCCACTTGACATATGTATTCCCAAGTCACACAACACTCTCCGACTCCATCTCACGTTCACTGTGATGAAGTTTATTTTCTCTAAAAACGCCATATGTGTTTGTGCTCTTTTTAGCGTTCATGTCCTGGGGTACTCTGTCACACGCAGACACAGAGGATGTGGGTTTGATGGATCCCAAACAACGGGAGACGTTCTTCCTGTGGCCTCAAGCATCTGGAAGGCATTCATGCAAATGTCATGTAACTTAACACAGAGTCTGGTTTATACATTTGACAGAACTTCTCTAAAAATACGGGAAGGTCTGTATTTTTGGTAACTGTAGCTCGGCGCACACAACTACAGACTGAATATAGATGACACGGCTCCTTTCAACAGCATCTGCCTGTGCCCAGCTCCATCTAATTTTGGCACGAAGCTCTGCATTCCAGAAATGTTCAGAACTGCATGAGGGGGTATCACGCTCGGATGGTAGAAAATCATCTTACTGCTGCTTCTAGGGCTATATGAAAGCTCTGAGAGAGGTTGTTGACATGGGCTACCTGTCTGTCCAACTATAACCTGAGATCGCATACTTCACAGCTACGCAAGTTCTTTAAGACAATTGTGAGGAAAAGGTGTTAGGAGGAGAGAGAGAGATGTTTATCACATCATTTTAAAGCCCTAGTAAATAAAACCTCTCATTCGCATTTGATGCCCATCAAGAAATGTCATGTTTACGGTAATTGTCTCACCATTAAGATGCTTCCTAGAGGGAGAGTTCACCAATGAGATAAAAAAAAAAAAAAAAGAGCTTGGATTCTGCTCGATAATTATGTGATTTACTTAGGAGATTTACCAATCTCCTTTGAATTTTGCTAATATCTCTCACTGAGCAAACTTAAAGCAATACATGGCAATAAAGACCAGATTTCCAGAATTGGGCAATCCTTCCGAACAGCAGTGTTTGGAAGGCCACATCTCACCAAACTGTTCACATATCTTGTGGTATCAAATATATGGCCAGATGGCTGAGTTAAAAGGAGAAGGGTTGTTTGGAGAAAGTTCATTAATTCTGACATGAACTGGCCATTGAAGAGCTAATCTTTATGTGAGAGGGTCAAAAGGACAATGTCACCAATAAAAGGAAGCCATGCATCATGACAAACACCATTTATGATGGTGGAACGTTCCAGGTTACACATCCTTGACATCAGAGGATGTTTCAGAACAGACAAAAAGGTATTTGAAAGGGAGGGAATGTCAAATGGGAAGGAACATTCTGGGGAGAGAACTGAGAGGAGTCCATTCTAGGAGGTAGCCATTTATCACCACGTGAGTAGAAACATAGACGTGAGTACATTTAACCAGCCTCCGTGTCTGGAGGAGAACACAGGGCTGATCTGCAAAGGTGTCTGCTTTCAACCACATAGGCAAGAAGACTGGAGAGATGGCTCAGGGGGGTAAATGTGTCTGCTATACAAGCACGGGGAACAGAGTTCAGATGCCAGCACCCATGTGAAAAAGCTAAGCGTGGGTTAAGTACACCTGTAACCTCAGCAGAGACAAGAGGGTCACTGAGGCCTGCTGGCTGCCAACCTAGCCCCAGGCTGAGTAAGAGACCCTTGTCACAGAGGGATAAGACAGGGAGTGACAGGCCAGGACGCCTGGCATTCTTCCCTGGCCTCTATACATGTGGACTCGTACGCACGTGTGAATATGCCACAAACAAATACACTTCACTTGCACACATACGTGCTAGTGTGTGTATGTGTGTGCGTAAAATCAAGAGAAAACGTTCTTAGAGAATGCCAGGTTGAAGAACTCATCACTTAAAAACACTGTCTCCACAACTCATTCTCAAGTTACACAGCAAACAGAAATTTTGATTTAGGAAAATCCATTAAATCTAGGGAGGAAGGATGAAATCTATAGTATCCGTGTCTCTCCCCCCACCCATCTCAATGAGACGAGAGTTCTAGTACTGATCAGTGGAGTTCAAAACAGGGCACCACATCTCCCTAGCTCCCTGCTGTGGTTTCTGTTTGAGGTGAGTAGATCCCCGCATTTCTTATCCCACCCACGCCTGTAGTTTAGAATCCTGTAGTTTAGTATAGGTGAGGGTCCTCAGACTTCTCAGCGTCTGTCTTCTAGCCAGCCCCTACCTACAGAGCAGGAAAACTACCCGAGATATGGCTAGACAAGAAAGTTAGGCCCAAATCATCCTCACCTAAAGTCACTGATGAGCAAGAGGTTTCACACTGAGAAGGATGAGTTGGGAAGACCAGGGACTATTTCTATGCACGACACTGTACAGACAAGAATATTAATCTGAGAGACAGACCACAGTATGCCCCTGGAGCACCGTTGATACAAAAGCTGTTCTCAAAGCATAATCAGGTTATAAAAATAGAAAATTGCATGGATTTTTCTAAAGGGGATGGGGATTATCTGGAATATGATATGGTAAAGTTCAGGCTTAAAGGTGATATTGAAGGAGGGATATAGGAAGAAGAGAATAAACAACCTGAATGAGCAATGGGTAAATGGACGATAAGGAGGAAGTTCAACAGAGCGGACCAGGGAAAGGGATGGAAGAGAAAGAGCCCTCTGGGTGCCGCGCCACCAGGTTTAGCACTCAGCTGGAAAAGTGAAAGACCTGAAGAAGAAGAAGAAGGCCATGGAGACTGTTGAGAAGGCTGTCCCTCATTCAAAAAAAAAAAAAATTGGTGAGATATAGTCATTTAGATATTCAAGAAGCTGGGCAGACATGAAGAAACCAGCACCAAATATTCCTTAGTAAAGGCGCAGGGAGACCAATACAAAGGAAAACCTAAAGTAACAGAAGAAACTCGGATAGATTCCGATTCGGCATCCAGGTGGATGGGCGGGCAGGCAGGTAGGCAGCAATTTTTAAATCCGTAACAAACACTCCAGAAATATAAACTGAAGGCAAATCCACGGAAACATATAAACCAGGTAAGCAGCAATTCTAAGTGCTCTGGAAAGTCCACGCCAGCATCAGGTAAGTGCACATTAGAGCAAAACATGAGTTACTGTGGAGGAAGGAGGCGTCACTTAGGATTATGAAAAAAAAAAAAACTATTAGAAATTTGTAGGAATTGGAAATGCATAATTGTGTACAACCAAAGCTCAACGTAAAGAAAACACATGGAACAAGACTGGACTAAACACACAGTCCAATGTGAACAGTTGCAGAGTTTCTGCAGCAGCCAGCATGAAGCAGAGCAGCGAGCAGAGAGGAAGCCACACTGCGTCCAAGAGGGCATCATCCAACCGTCCTCTGCCAACACGTTTTGAACGTTCTTCAGAATGAACCACATGTGACACCTTAAAACCACCCTCAATAAGTCGGAAAGGACTCATTAACATGGGGTGTGTTTTCTAGCCACAGCGAAAAATAAAAGAGGCTCTAGAAAATTCACAAATAGTTGGAGGCCAAACTTATTCTCAAGTAGTTAATGATTCAATGACAGTAAAGGTATATTTTAATATAAATAAAAATAAATACACAATATGCAAAAAGCCTCAGACACACAGGACAGATACTTAAAATAGAATTTATATCTACAAAAGCATAAAAAGAAGAAAACCTCAAATCAGTAATTTTCTACCTTAAGATGCCAGAAAAAGCAAGTACAATATCCATATATAAAGCATAGCTCTTCCCCATTGCCAAAGCTTCTTTTTACAGCAGACAGGGGCCATTAGAGAAATCCACAATTTGTCAAATGTAGAGAACAGCTGACTATGGGGTGTCCCTCCTCAGCTGATAGACCTACAACACAACCCCTACACTTTCAGGGAACCTCTTGGAAGAGGAGACAGAACTATTGTAAGAGCCAGAGGACCAGGGCGTCTTCTATGAGAGGGTGTCTTCTGTATATGCACCCGTAAAGCCTCCTCAATAAGACCCGTGCACCGATGACATCATTGTGGAGTGGGTAAAGCTTACAAGGTCCCCACCGAGAGGAAGAGCTACAGACTGTTAGTGACTCCCCGTCCAGGGACAAGCCCCCAGGTATGTCACCCAATCTCAGGTGTCTATTCCTGAACACATATACATGTGCATTCAAGGATAAGACTGAGTGGTCCCGTGTCTTTAGACGTCTGGCAGGGGTGGCAGATGGCCACAGAGATGTGTGTTGAGCAAACCTCACACCACAATCCAGGAAGCCCATAGAGAATGGACCAGTAGGATTCCACAGTGCCCTCTAGGACACCCTCCACCTTTTAAGGGTCCACGCAGCAGCTCCCAGTACCAACCCCTGGGAATCAATCCTTCATACATGGTCCTTTGAGAAACACACACCAAGAGAATGGATGCCACCATCAGCAGATAGACAACACATGCTTGTAGTCCATTTGTTTACCTTTCAATCTGTTCATTGCTAAGGATCAGGTTGAAAATTAGAATGGTGAGGTGTCATGGAAGGAGAAATAGAATTTGAACAAGTTACAGGTCTTGATCTTCAGCATTTGAAATGACCTTAATATTGGCAAAAGTGGTTTTCCTTCAGTTGATTTATAATGCTTAGAAGGTATGCTGGAAGCTTCGGACATCTAGTTTTATGTTTTATGAAATGGTTCTGGGCAAGAAAATTAGTGAAGAGAAATATTAACTCTTTGATCATGAAGAAAATAAATAATTAAATATATATATATATATGGTACCTGTGGGCATCTGGCAGCACTGTAGCAGTCTCCAGCTGTGGCAAATGGAATCGCCTTTCCAAACAGTGTCTGGGAGAAAAGAAGATCTGTAGCTGTAAGAAATAAATACAACTGGTTACCATGGAAAAAACGTCTTCCTTATTTTCAAAGATGCAGTTTTCATAGTATCTAAACTATACTTATTATTTAAAAATTTAATAAACTATCACCACTATAGCATACAATGTAGGAGCGCCTCAAAATGGATACATTTTATTTAACACGAAAATAAACATGGCTTTAAAACAAACAAACAAACAAAAAAAACCCCACAGGTGCATCTGAAATTAAAGAAAAACATGAGAAAACTAAATAAATAGTTTTCACATTTTATACCAAGGCAGTTCTTTGAAATAGTTGGAGTGGGTTCAAGAAGAAAACCACAGAAAAACAGAAACAGAAACTTCAATGGCAGACCAAATCATGCCAAAGCAATGTGAGTGCTGGTGCCAGTGTCCCATATCTATACCAATTCATGGGGGCAATTCTGTTCCTCTTCCATTTGCTGAGATTGTTAGGAAAGTTTTCTGATTGCCATGATCACTGGAGATTCTCCATAAAAGACAAAGCTGGATTCACTGGGTCAAAGACAGCTTGGGCAGAGTCCTCAAACTCTGCTGTTGCAACCACTCACACTGCACTAGTCACTTAAACAATGCCCCAGCAATGGCTACCAACTCCACCGAGGTGATTCACGTCCCTGACAGGGCCACAGCCCGCCCTTAAAGGCAAGGTCCCTGAGGTAGCATTTATGCAAGTATCCCATCTTTGAGGACAGTTAAAAAAAACTGTCAGGCCTTTCATAACCCACCAGAGGAATTCTGTGCCCCCCCCCCCCCCCCAGGCCTCAGTCTAAGTGATCATGGTTACGTGGTCATGGTGATGGGCTTGCACGCAGCGTGGGTAGACCATTACGCCATGAAACTGACAAACAGTACAAATACTGCCTGTTCTAGGACAGGTAGCTGTTAAACTCAAATCCCCGTTCCACCGCTTCTTTGTGACCCTATACATTAGGCTGGAGCAGAACACACACACACACACACACACACACACACGTTTCAAGGTGTATTTTACTGTCTCCTCCAAAAGCATGAGCAGTCGGAAAGCTGGTTACATAGTGATAACCATAGTGTGTGCATAGTACATTTGTCTCTCTAAGTTCCAGCAAGTCAGCCAGACTGTTGCAGGCCTCACTCTCTGGTTGCTCTGCCGGTATGCCCAGCTTTACATGCCCAAACTAAATTACAGGTATCTGTTTCTCTTTGCTCGTTAAGCTAGTTTTGACGCTTGTCATTTTACCTGAATTACTACATTCATTTCCATAGCTGTTTCTATGGCTACAATTTGTTCTCCCGGCACTCAGGTCTTCTCTTCTTATGATTTTCCTCCTCCAGTGGTTCTGATGAATTGTAATCAAAGTTCAACTAGGCACAGTCCTCCTCCAAAGGGCGTGGCTCCAGGTACCTCTCAGCCACCCTCAGCCACCCTCAGCTGTGGATAATACTGACCCTTATTGAAAAGCTGGAGGCTGAATCATGGAGGCCAAACACAACCAATTCGTTCCCAGTTTAGAGAGGGGGGAGAGGGAGTGGTCACTGGTAACCCTATAATCACTAAGTTGGGAAGGCAAAAAGAAGCTACTTGTATCTCTGTGGCCTCAGCGGCCAAAGCAAGATGACGAAAGGAACATCATCCTCTGGAAAACGTCCCAATAAGGGGCACAACTTGTGCCGTCGCTGTGGCTCTAAGGCCAACCACCTTCAGAAGTCGACCTGTGGCAGATGTTGGCTACACTGCCAAGCGCAAGAGAATGTAAAATTACTGGAGTGCCAAGGCTAAGAGGTGAAACACTACTGGACTAGGCAGACGAGGCACCTACAATTGTCTTTTGCAGATTCAGACATGGATTCAGTGAAGGAACAACTAAACCCGAGAGGCCAGCTGTTGCAGCATCCAGTTTATCAGTCAGTCATAAAATAAATGCTCTGGTTTCAAACAAACAAACAAGACAACAACAAACAAAAACAAACAAAAGAAGCTACTTGGAGTGAGTTCAGGATAGAATAGGGAAGAGAAAATGAGGGGAAAAAAGTGTCTTATTTAAGAAATATTGCTATCAAGGAACACAGATGTAGGGCGTGGTGGCACTCGCCTTTAAACCCAGCACTAACACAGAGGCAGGCAGATCCATCTGAGCTTGAGGCCAGCCTGGTCTACAAAGCAAAGTCAGGACAGCCAGAGTTACATAGAAAGACCCTGTTGAGAAAGAGAAAGAGAGAGAGAGAGAGAGAGAGAGAGAGAGGTCCAGAAGATACAATTTGCTCTTAATTATTGTAGAAGCTCCAAGTACATGTTGCAGATTGTGTAAACGGCCCAGCAGAGAAGAATCGCTGACGTAGAAGAGAAAAGGTGAGCTGCCGAAGGATGGCCTTGAATCCTATTTATAAGCTAGCCCTTGCTGAGAGTGAGAACGGGATGATTCAATGACAATGAATAAGAGAAAAGGTGACGCACGGGGAAAGCATCGTGAATTGGAGAGTAAAGCAGTGAGAACTTTGGAATTTCCCTTTCGGTTGTGATTTTTTTTTTTAATTTTTATTGATAAATTAGGAAGCAAGGTCAGCCATTAGTAAGGTAAAAGACTGAAGAAACTTAAAACTGGAAAAGAAAACGTGATGCGGATACAAGGAAAGTAGAATGGGGATGCAAGGGCAGATACAATAGGTTCGTTTGATAATAACAGAGCCCCATGCTAAACTTGGAAGTCACGCATTCAAAATAAAACCAGCCAGGACTGTAAATCAATTTTCACCATTTCACAGAATAGGTATAGAATGTGTTTATCTCTCTCTCTCTCTCTCTTTGTGTGTGTGTGTGTGTGTGTGTGTGTGTGTGTGTATCTTTGTGTTTCACAGGAGTTTGAGGAAGGAAAAGGGAGAAGTTTTAAAATGCATTCATTTGAGCCAAGTGGTCAGGTCAGTAACTAGCAATATGAGAAACTGGTTTGGTAAATTAGTGAAAAACAACATCCATTTACCAACAAATAAGTTACCGAGTGTAGGTAATATACTTAGTGGTGTCAATTAACAAAATCACATTTTAAAATAATAACCAGTTTTTAGAGAAGACGACTTACTATACCAAGACATTAAGCTGATAAAATTAAAGGTAGCATCTTTTAAGCTTCACAGAAAAGGCAAACAAGGTTGAAAGCGAGAGACAGAGAGAGAGAGAGAGAGGGAAAGAGAGAGAGAGAGAAAGCCCCTTAGCAGCTTCTTATATTACAAAGGAAGGGAACTAGGTTTAAAGGGACACCCAGGATCATATGGAACGGAAACAAAGAAGTCACAGGACTCCAGAGTCTGTGCTCATTAAAGCTGCTTCATTGCCACAACTTGAACGTTATCCATCCTTCTAACTCATTCAGAAGTTTAATGTGCTACATCTTACTTTACATCCTTAAAAAAAAAAAAACAAAAAACCCTTACACTTACGTTGAGGATATTAATTTCTTTGAACTTAATATGTTTGGGATTTATTTTAAGAGGTAGATAGCTTTATTTTAAAGGAAACTATCTTATTATGTTCACTATATAACGTTTGTATCAAAGGCCCCCATATTTTGCGTCATTTCAGAGAAAGTGTGTATCTGATGACGGTAAAGGAAACCACTCTCTACAGTCCTGGGTTCTTCATTACGGCCCGTCATATGCACCAGTACATTGCTGGCTTTTCCATGTCAAATGGAGGCGTCTTGTTTTCCTTGGAGACGCGGTGCTTACTTTTGATTTGCATGGAAGTGAGATCGACTCTGACTTTGCTGAAAACAGTGTACCCAGCAGGTAGGTAGTCATCTTTACACGGGCAGTCTTGCCTCCGGCTCCCATTGAACGGGCATTCATAGGGATTTTGAAGTCTGTAACAACAGGGGGATGTTTGTAGCACTCGGTTCATTTGTTTGACCCTAAATGATGAGCTTAGTAAAACAGGAGACACAGCTGTTCTTCCATACCACCGTAACAGCATGTTAACTGACAGAGAAGCAGAATTCACTATGACTAACATGCAGCATTCTCACTGGGAAATTCAGGGGCTATTTCCTACAGAAAAACTGAGCTTTAATTTTCCCACTTTTGTTACTAGAATTAATTGGATTTCTATGAAAACAGACAAGGTGTTAAACTTATCCCTTCTGTATTGTCCCGCATTCACCCTCTTTGTGATTGCAACCTAACTCGTACATCCACCTCCTTCTCAATGTCAGTTATCCTAATGCTGCCAAAGGTCAAAATCTATGGGCCCTAAAAGTGCACAGACAGGACAGAGTGTCTCATACCTAAGGCCATATACTTCTGAAAAGTTGTCATCACCTTTGACCAGTGGTAAATATTCTCTAGGGTTCTCCAGTTGCATGCCTGAGCAATGGATCTAAGGGAAATAAACAAATATCTAGAAAAGCGTTTTCCATGGGCGAGATCAAAGTTAAAAATCAATGAGAAATATTTTTCAGAATACCTTCATTCTTCTTCCCCTGATGTTAAGGTCGTAGTCACCATCCTTGGTAATGTTGTTTGTAACTTGGATTTCTTTGCATGTGGTAAATAATTTACCTTCAAGGATAGATTAATGCAACACATCAACACTGAACAAATTCCAAACAGCATGGACTCGACCATCAGAATCATCTCAGCACTCTGAAGGTCTGGCACTTTGTGCTGCGGAGTGTGGCAGCTGCATAGGTCTATGTTGGCATTTCAGCTAAAGCTTAGGGACACTTGGTGCTGGGTAGATTTTTGAATCTATTACTTACAGTCATTGGCATAACATTTCTTTTGTGCATCTGGCTTTAAACGCTTTAAACATAAGTCACTGGGCCAACCGTTTTCAGTCCTGCATTCTACTCTTCGCTCCATTATCCCATTTCCACAAGTTACTGAGCACTGTCAACACAGTAAAGGTTGAGGTAAAATATATCACAAATAATAAGGCCAGGAAATCCATACTGCCTTCTCCAAGACTAGGCTCTTTTCGAATAACGTGAGGGTCAATAATGGTTAGAACTATGGAAGATGCAAAAATATTCTGGAGCTGCATGGTTACTGGAGAAAAAAAGAATCGTCAAGCCTGAGCCTGTAGCTGTTGTTTCTGGTTTTGTGTCATTTATTTTGCACAGATGTATCAGTGGTACACTGCAATTGTCCAGTAAACATTAGTGGATGAGGCCTATTAAGACTCCTTATACACACCACACATTGCAAATAATAAATATTCAGCTCACTTATGGCTGCTATTACAACTAGCTAGAGGTCTTCCTTCGGATAAAATTACAAAGCAATGCTATTGTATTTCCATTAGGTAAGTTGACAAATAGAATCTAGTGTAAATAATATTTATTATACAGAGATCAGAGAAAGCGAGCTCCTCACTTAGCTGATGTTTCTGAAGTACCTACATAAAGTGCAAGCCCTTGTATATGTTCGCTGAGGACCACACATAAGGACTGCTGTTATCTTCTTACAAGCAAGTTAGAATAAACACGGAAAGGATAAGACATTCATACGAATAACTAACAAAATGGATTTTAGACAATGGTGTAGAAGATCATGTGGAAGGTCCTACTCAAAATGTAGATGACCAAGAAACCCGTCTCTGAACAGCCTGTTGCAAAGGGCCATAAGCTCAGAATTCTGGACTGACCTTGCTCCATTTCCCCACTTTCCAAGTGGCGGCATGCAAACAGCTTCTGACATCGCATTTGTATACAGGAGGAGATGGCATCACAGGGCATTCCCTGTACTCTGCAGGCTGAAGCTCACGGAGCATGTGCTTCTTAAGGGATTGGACCCTCATGCAGTATGTGATCTTCTGTGGATACGTGACCCCACAGTCACCTGCACACTGAAAGACGCACAGTGGTAAGGAAACTCGCCAGGGGCCTAATATCTGTCAGCTGCTTAACATGAGTCATCCACGTCACCTCTACGGCAACTCACTTAACCAGCTTCATTCACAGGTAGGGGAAACAAAGGGGCAGAGACGTTTAGACAGCTTATACAGAGTCACACCAGAAAATCTGGAGCATCGAGATTCAGCCTAGGTTTTGTGTCTGAGGAGCCTGTGAGGTTTCTCTCTTTCCAATTACGAACTCTTTTCTACTGACGTGGCCCATTTCTCCACTCTATTTCATTCTGACCATTTAGGTTACTTACGCAATAGAATATGAAGACAGAAAGTACTCAGAAATCAACATGCTCTTTCTTTTACAAGATTGTCTAAAGCATGTTTGTGGCACACACCTTTGACCCCAGTACTCCAGAGGCAAAAGCAGGTCCATCTCCGAGTTCAAGGCCAGCCTGGTCTACAGAGTGAGTTCCAAAACAGCCAGAGCCACACTGAGAAATGCTGCCTTGAAACAACAACAACAAAACTAAAAACAAAATATTGTTTTTCTAGTCTAAGTCCCTCACATTTTGAAATGAATTTTAGGGCCAGCTTGCCAAATTTGTGCGAAACCTAGTTGGAAATTTGTGGAAAAGTCAATCAAAGCATTGTGGTTAACTGAGCTTCCACAAAGATGCCGAATGAACTCAATGAGGAGAGATAATCTCTTCTACAAGTTGTGTTGGTTTCACAGGGCAGCCATGGGCAATTGTAGATGAAAATATTCTCATATATGAAAATAAAGTGTATCAGACCTAAATATATGAACTAAAATTATAAGACTTAGAAGGAAAATAGGCCTACGCCCCCTCTCCAAACAATATAGGCACTGCCATTGTCCGGGGTTAACCCCTAGAACTTGAAGGTAAGACCCTACTGCTGAAGACGCGGTAGGAGTTGGAGAAATTGAGCTAGAGTTGACTGGAAGCATCCTCCCAGGGGACGGGATCTCGTGGTATTGGAAGATGCTGTGCAAGCTGCTAAGACAGCAATTAAATCCCATCCTACAGTAAAGTCCATGGTCTGTAACAATGTCCAGCATGGTAAGACAGACTCAGCACTGAGATAGTGACACTCATTTTGTTAGCAATCAACAGTTGTTTTCATTGGACTTAAGGCCCACTAGTTCACTGAGAAGGAATTCCTACCCTGATACTGTAAACTAGTCAACTACCTACAGCTGGTGAGGTCAACCTTCCTTATGCTGCAACCCTTTACAGTTCTTCATTCTGTGGTGACCCCCAACCATAAAACCATAAAATTATTTTCATTGCGACTTTTGCTGCTGTTATGAATCGTAATGTAAATACCTGATGTGCAGATGGTCTTAGGCGACCCCTGTACAAGGGTCTGTTGACCCACAGAGAACTGGTACCCTGAGGATGACCTTCATGCCCAAACTGTTTAATTTGTACCCATATTCTAAATTTATACCCACAGATAAGTGCAGCTCTAACCCCTTATCGAAGACACTTTTTTTTTTTTTTTTAGTCAGGGTATTTTATGATAGCAACAGGAAACGCTACCAAGACAACCTTACCTGTGCCAAGTCTCCGGTTAACACCACATACTTGCAGTGAGGATTCCTGCACTTTTTGATCGAAAGAGGTTTTGTTACAGGGTCACAGAAACTTTCATTCACTTGTAAATTTTGTTCATTCGTGCATGTCACTAGCCGATAGGTCTCTTTCTTCCTACATGATGTTGAACACTGGAAATGCAATGGGAGATCAAGTAACACTTTCCTATGTGCAGTGTCCTTGCAAGCTTGCTTGTCAGGTTCTGGGTGTAGTGGTCATAGACTGTGAGGCTGGAATTCCATAAGGGAGTCAGGAGGATGAGGAGTTCCAGGGAAGCCAGGGCTGCAGGAGCCTCTGTTTCAAAATAAAGGGGTGGGGAAAGATAGGACAGAGAAGAAACTGGAAGGGGAGAGGAGGGGATTGGAGAGGAGGGAAGGAGAGAGAAGGGAAGGAAAAAGAAAAGGGAAGGGAAGGGAGAGAAAGGGAGGGGAGAGAAGGGGAGGGGACCTGATGGGAGGGGATGGAAGGAGATGGAAGGGAAGAGGAGGGGAAAAAGGAGAGGGAAGGGAAGAGAAGGGGAGAGTCGGGGAAAGAAAGGGGAGGGAAGGAAAGAGGCAGGGAAGGAAGGGGAGCAGGGGAGAAGGAGGGCTCAGCAGATAGAGCACTTAGCAAAAGCCTAACAACTTGAGTTCAACTCTAAGAACCCACATTCGCTCCTCCAACCCCAACATATATGCCGAAGCAAACACACAGCAGCTTTCACACATTCGTATTCACATGAGACACACACGCACACGCACACGCACACGCACGCGCACACGCACACACACACACACACACACACACACACGCCTGGTGCACACGATGTTGGAATTCTTAAAATCACAAAGCAGAGGAAAAAGAGCATGGCCCTGTTAACACTCACATCTAGCCAGTCTCCCGTTGTCCACTGGTACCTCACACAGTCTTGATGCCAGCAGTGCCGCTGCCCCTGAGGCCGGGTGAACGGATCACACATGTCTTCAGCCACTCGGCCGGTGCCTCTCAGTCTGCAGTACACCTTCCTCTGCTGCACCCCTGACCCACAGGTCACAGAGCACTACAAAGGAACGCAGAGGATCTGAACAATGTGGCTAGCAAATGTCAAGCCACATACTGATAGCTACAGAGGGCACTGCACATTTTATTTGTTGTAAACACGGCCTGATATTATGTCATGCATTAGGTAGAAAATCCATAAAAAGAGTGTGCTTACTATTGTTTTACCTACAGTCTATATAAATATAGAGTTTTATTTTAAAGCTGTTATTCAAGTTTTCCAGAAACTGTCAACTGTCAACTGCTACAAAGTATCCCAGTGTGGAAACCCTTTCCTGAATTAAACATACTTAATCTCTATAAAAGTCACTACAGAGGGCTACTACATTCTTTTAAATGGCACACATGAATTCTATACTCATTATACTCATCATTCACCACTAAACACCAACTTCTAAGACTTTTGTTATATTCATATTTTTATGTGCAACACCCACTATAATTTGAACCTGTTGGGGGCCTAGATAGTGGCTAAGCCATTGAGTCTTGATTACATTTTTATGGGCAGGATTCTGGAGAAGCCTGCATAAATTATAAATTTAGACAGCCTTGTCTTGGTCTTTCAAACCTCATTTTTCTTAGCATTAATAATGACAAAATGTTACTGTCTATATTTCTATGTCTATATTCCATTTAGTTGCTCAGAGATTCTCTAAGACTGGAGCTCTCACTTTAGCTCTGTTCTCTTCTTTCCCAGTGCTCACCAGGCTTTCCCCTAGCCCATGCACAGCCTTGCCTACCTTTATGACACACACCTCTGGGCTCCTACTGCCCTACCTGGTACCCAGTTCCCAAACCACACCTCTGCTTTGATACTCGATAAAGCAGCCTCCCTGTCATTTGCAAGCTCCCCTCCTCGCCTGTCAGAGCTGCTGCTCATTTACGCTCTAAACTGGTGGCTCATAAATAACAGACAATTATATCTCACAGGGGGGAAGTTCAAAACGAGAGCATCAGAGTATTTCACTTCTGGTGCAGAAATGCTCCCTGCCTCACAGATGGTCATGTTTGTGTTCCTATAGATAAAGTGGACTAGGATCTCTCTAGAGCCCCTTTCACATGGAAGATGATTTCAGTTACAGGGCTCTACCCTACTGAATCACATCCCAGACTCCCTCCCTCCAATGGGATTACTTGGAGGGGAGGGGGTTAAAGTATGCATGGATGGGCACAAACTTCACATGATGAAGGAGGGTTGAAACTTTGCTCTCCCTATTGAGCCTGGAGAATCCAAAAGTTTTCAGCTTCGGGATGGCAGGCATTCCCAAACCCAGCAGTATCCATACGGCAGAAACTGACAACAAAGAGCTGAGAGGCTGACATTAACAAAATGTGGAGAAGGTTCAAGGATATTTATTAATTGTGAATTTGGTTGCCTGTGTCCCTATTATCCCAGAAAGTATTGGAGATCACACAGGGTAATAATATTTGAAGGTACACTGGTGTTCTCAACAGAGATATTATAAGAAAAAAAAAATCAGTTGTTTTATCAAGCTCTCTGTTTTTACAGGCACCTCCAAGAATCTCGTCTCCTATTGTCTACCGCGTAATGTGTTTTACTATAAGAAAATCATTTAAATCTCACAAAAGCTAAGATCTGAATTTACCCAGTGACTCAGATACCTTTTACAGAGCACAGCAGCTTTTCACTTAGGTGGCTGCAGAGACTGACCTTTCTGGCACATCTAGAAGCTGCAGACTTTAAAAAGACTTTCTGTCTTCTCCCTTCAGAATATAGTGTGCATTTCCACAGCTTTCGACATGCTATGTTTAAGCTACTGGGTTCTTCCAAAAATGCTATCTAGCCTTTGGGATAGAGATAATGGTGCATGCTTTGGGTCAAGCATAATATTAGGTAGACTGACATACTTACGTACAGTTCACGGGGGCGTGGCTGTAAAATAGGAGAGAGATGTGCTCTTCTTGGTCACCAATACCCTTTTGGGTCCTAAGCCACTTCTCTGCTGTGCTACTGCTACATATGTCCATGGCTGCACCATGGGGGATCTTTTCTGGCCTTTGACCATCTCTCTCACAGTAATAAACCCATCACCCTTTCTAACAAATTGTCTTGGCTTACTACCAAAGATGAGGTTTTGGGGGGGCTTCAGAGGCAGGGATGGATGTTAATACCAAGAAAGGCACGGATGCTCTGGACAGGGTCTGCCTTCTTTTTATGTTGTTTTTCCTTGTCCCAGAAGTTAGCTCCATTCACCCACACAGTCCCCAGGTCTCTGCCAGGAACAAATAGCCAATTGTGTGGTGCTTGCCATTTGATTTATTCTATAGAAAGTACTGACATGAAGCCAGGAATTGCAGGCTGTCCCTGCACCACGTCTGGTAATGTATTCGACACACGTGTCATTTCAAAGGCACTCACAGGATAATCGTTGGTTGGTTCTCTGTTCCAAGTGTAGAAACTGTAGCCTTGCTTTAAAATAATTACCATGAAATAAGTTCATCCGTATTGCCACGGTTGCAGGATGCCTCAACTACAAAGACTCCTTTGGAAAACTGCTGGCCACGTTGTGCCAATGCCTTTTAAGGGAGTACGTTTCATTTGGTATCTGATAACATTTTTAATGTAAGTATTTAGTGGCGCATATTAATGGCTGTTGCTAAGTGATGATAAACATTGATTTATAAGACCGTTTGTGTCTTCTTTCCAGATGTGTGGCTTCAGGGGCAAATTAAATGCTTGAATCATTAAAAAGAGCAAATGCACTCACCTCTCCTCCACACGCACTTCCTAGAAACAGTTGGGGCGGGGGGGGGGCTTTTGCATTTGTGTTTTGGAATCCCAGCTTTGCTTGTTAACCCCCCACTGAGCAGATTCCTCAGCATATATAAGGTCCCACATGTATTCCTGTGCCTAAGGGTAAAACTTACTGAATTCTTATCTCCCTTGATCAGAGCCAACCTAATAGGCAATTTAGAAAGACAAAAAAAGAATCTCATTCTACTCTTTTTATGCTGGAGATCAGTTAAATATCAAGTTCCCAACACTCCACAGACACTGTCTGTTCTATGGTGAAACTAGAGGGTTTTCATTTAGTATCAGAGATTGCATGGTGCCAATCAAAGGCCAACTTTCCACTGAAATTCTATGTAGGTTTGGTGTTCTTGTTTCTTAATATGCTAAGGCATATATCCAGACACTTTTCTTTCAAAATTGGATGTCATCCTGAACTTGATTTATCGGTTTCTTTCATGTTGGGTCATCTTAGCCCATCCAAAAATACCTAGACCTCATGTCTCACTTGTTTTGTGTCTAGTTGCAATTATGCATGTAATTTACTAGTTCTAGCTCCAGGATGAAGTCTAAACTCAAATCCAAGATTCTGAGATGCAAACAAGGACATTACTAAATACATCACTGGATATATTTTTTGATAGATAACCAATATGGTATTAGTAGCCTTGAGCCCTTTATTTGCTAGCAGAGTTTCCTGTAAATTTATAACCTAAAACAAACAAACAAAAACCAAACAACAACAAAAACACACAAGTAACTGAGCTGGGCACAGTGGCACAGGTCTATAAGCCCAGCAGAACATTCTACAATAAAAGACACCTTAAAAAAGTCAAACTTTCAAAGCTACTACAAACAAATACTGGACTCGGGTCTTAAAAATGTAAATATAGTGCTCTTAACCTCCGAGCCATCTCTCCAGTTCCACAAAGACCAAATATATCTGGGCACAGGAGTCTTATATGAGACTGTTTATCCAACCAAGGACCATGGATGGATACCTAGAACCTCTGCTCAGATGTAGCCTGTAGTAGCTCAGTAACCAAGTGGGTTCCCTAGTAAGGGGAACAGGGACTATTTCTGACATGAACTCAATGGCAGGCTCTTTGGCCTCCCTACCCCCCAAGGGAGGAGCAGTCCTGCTAGGCCACAGAGGAGGACTTTGCAGCCATTCCTAAAGATACCTGATAAAACAGGGTCAGATGAAAAGGGAGAAGGTCCCCCCTATCAGTGGACTTGGAAAAGGACAGGGAGGAGATGAGGGAGGGAGGGTGGGATTGGGAGGAAATGAGGGAGCGGGATACAGAGTTAATAAAATGTAACTAATAATAAAATAAAAAATAAAATAAAATTAAAAGAATGTAAATATAGATATTTGGAGATGATGGATGAATAGATGGAAAAGAAGCAAAAGGGGTGGATAGATAAGTGGTAAATAGATGATGGATGGATGGAGAGAGATACATAGATGAGGAGTGGGTGGTTGGATAGATAGGTAGATAGATAGATAGATAGATAGATAGATAGATAGATAGATAGATAGA